AAAAAAAATATTGTCAGGAGCTGAAGAGGTAGTTGTTGAGGTGGTTTGGTCATTTAGAGAGAATGGATCAAAGTAGAATGACATGGAGAGCATTTAAATCTGTAGGGAAAGGAAGGCGGGGTAAGGGTAGTCCTCAAAAAGGTTGGAAGGAAGGGGTAAGGGAGGTTTTGTGGGTGAGGGGCTTGGACTTCCAGCAGGTGTGCGTGAGCGTGTTCGATAGGAGTGAATGGAGACGAATGGTATTTGGGACCTGACGATCTGTTGGAGTGTGAGCAGGGTAATATTTAGTGAAGGGATTCAGGGAAACCGGTTAATTTTATGTAGCCGGACTTAAGTCCTGGAAATGGGAAGTACAATGCCTGCACTCTAAAGGAGGGGTTCGGGATATTGGCAGTTTGGAGGGACATGTGTATCTTTATACGTTGTGCAAGAATGGTATATAATACCGACAAGATGAAATTAAGACATATGTGCAACATCTGGGTATCTTTAATAATAAACGTTTCGCCATCCAGTGGCTTTATCAATACAAATTCTAGGACATTGCTTGAAGACAGTAGGACTATATACAGAAGATGAGGTAATCAGTCCCTCACCCTAGGAGTAGGTGAGAAGAGCACCATAGTCGTGCTCTTTGCACCTACTCCTAGGGTTGAGGGACTGATTACCTCATCTTCTGAATATAGTCCTACTGTCTTCAAGTTATGTCCTAGAATTTGTATTGATAAAGCCACTGGATGGCGAAACGTCTACAATAAAGATACCCAGATGTTGCACATGTGTCTTAATTTCATCTTTATACGTATATGCTTCTAAGCTGTTGTGTTCTGAGCACCTCTGCAAAAACAGTGATTATGTGTGAGTGAGGTGAAAGAGTTGAATGATGATGAAAGTATTTTCTTTTTGGGGATTTTCTTTCTTTTTGGGTCACCCTGCCTCGGTGGGAGATGGCCGACTTGTTAACCCTTAAACTGTCCAAACGTAGACCTATGTTTTTCAACATTTGAAAGTATGTAAAAAAATGTAGATCTTTTTGTTTTTTTACACTTGAAAACATGTAAAAAAAAAATTTGATCTACCTTTTTTTTTTTTTGTTATATTTGGAAATAAGTAAAAAACATAGATCTACTTTTGAAGCACTATGCATGTGAACATAGATCTTTTTGGACAGTTTAAGGATAAAAAAAAAAAATAATAATTCTATCCTGCCTCCTTTTTTTCGTCAATTTTGCCTTGATCATGTTACTGTTCATCATTTGTAATTGCACCCATGACACAGCAACCTCCTGGTGGAGAGCAGTTTTTCATTTCTTAGATGATCTAGAAGACTGTGTAGGAAGGAACCCTTGTGAAGGATTGACAAATATGGCCTTTCCTGCCTCAGTTTTTCACCATTATAATTTTTTTGATGCACCAGCAGTCTCCCACCGAGGCAGGGTTGCCCGAAAAAGAAGAAATGCCTTTAGAAAAGGCCATCATCTTTTTCTTCTTCTTTCAACAAACTGGTCATATCCCACTGAAGCAGGGTGGCCCAAAAAGAAAAACAAACTTTAACTTTAGTAATATACTGTATACAGGAGAAGGGGTTACTAGCCCGGCATTTTAGTCGCCTCTTACAATATACACGGATCATGGAGGAAGGCGGTCTTCTCCACTTTCCCATGGAGTACTATTAGAATTCTTGTACATTATTCCAAGGATAATCTTTGGAAGGAGTTGGAGGGCCAATTAGTGAAGGCTTCAGGATTGAAGACATGTGGGTGGAATTATCTCCTTGATGCCCACTCTGCTGTCGGCCTCTGACCATGAAAATGAAAAGAAAATGTTTATTTCCAAGAAATACAGTATCAGTGTTATAAGACAGTAACTGAATGAATGACAATGAGTGTCTCTTCCTTTTTTGGGGACACCCAACCTCAGTAGATGACCGTCATGTGAAATTTTGTCTCATAATGGGCTATAAGTTATACAGGAAAAAACCCTGGTTATGCAAAGCATTTTTGGAGCACTCTTCATAGGGTTGTCAAGGTCACTCCAGGATTCAGATGAAAGTAAGTCACTTTAACTTCTTTGGATTGTTCTAGGTAATTTACACTATGTATGATGATTGTACTTATGTGTACCTGTATCTAAGTAAACTTACTGATTTACACTGGGTTTCAACTTCCTTTTGAGCCTCACTTTCCAATCCCCACAGATGCTTTTATCATGCATCTGGGCATGCAAGTCACTTGTTATCATCATGAGAAGGGTTAAGCAGACATATGAGTTGTGTGGTTGGGATGCACATACTGAGGCATCTTGCCCTGGTCCAGTGTGTTGTCTTCACTGCTGTGTGAAGAATGTTAGAATAAAGTTTCATCTGTGAAACCACTGGAAGGGGGAGATAGGATACAATAAGATTTGTTTGGAATTTTAACCAGGAGAGCTAGCCACCCAGGATAACCCAAGAAACTCAGTGCATCATCGAGGACTGTTTTTTATTTCCATTGGGGTCCTTCAATCTTGTCCCCCATGATGCAGCCCTGTTATAAAACACCACTTGCCAGTAATTCTAAGTTTACCCTTGACCCTGACCTTATGCATACAAGGCACAGGCTGATATTCCAAGACTATTCTTTAGAAAACAAGTGCGCCTTATATGCTGGAAAATACAGGAGCGCCCCACTTACACAGCAGGTTGTTCTGGGCTACTGCTGTAAAGCAAAAATCACTATTAAAGTGAAAAATAGCCTTTTTTTTCACTTTCAAATATACATATAAAAGCCTGATAACATGTTTACACTTTCATATATTAAGTGAGCAAAAGAGATAGGCCTAAAAAATGCATATACAGTACACACATTACTTAAAATATTTTTATCCTTAACGTATAGTGAGTGGTGAACATAGTTATTAGGAAGTTAAAAGAAATGAAGAATGGGTATAATTTAAAATCGCTGTATTAGCGAAACACTGTAAAGTGAAGTGCTGTAAAGTGGGGCCCTCCTATACAGTACTGTACATTTCTTTGATCTATCATGTCTTGTACAAAAATTTCAACAAGTTTTGTCTGAATGCTACTACAGTACTGTAAAATTAGTGAAATTCAAGGACTGCTAAAAGTTCCACAAACATTTACATATTTTTTCCGCACATCATTAATGAAGCACAGCATGTTAATTATACTAACCGTGTGGTGAAGAACACAATAAGACCAAGGATTACCCCGAGTACAACAAGCACACATGACTCTGGTACTCTGCTGGAGACCCATCGAAGATGGTGGAAACCTGTAAACAATAATAAATTTATTTCTTTTGTGCAGTATGCAGGTAATGTAGTTTACATGTAATAAAATACTAGCATGCGTGCATTTCGTGCATTTCGGGCAGACTGATCAAGAAAAACACAAACATGGTTTGCTTTCTTCATTAAAACTTATTATTTTGCTTTACTGTCCTCATTCTGTAACCAAGAGGAATTTTTTTTTTTGGATATATGTATAGTTTGGAGGGAGGAAAAAACAAGCGTGAGACAGTTGTTACATTGAAAAGGACACAAAAAAAATTCACTATTTCCACATTGTTTGAAACCCTTGAATTGCATAAATCTATTTATCCTCTGGGAATTTATGTAACATGGTTAAAGGAAACTACAAAAATGCAATTAAGCTTGAGAACAAAGAAAGATTATGGATATTACAGCTTGTCCGTTGGCATCACTTATGATTCTGGTCAGTTTAGTGTTCATATAATGTGTTGCATTGTCCACTGATGATGAAAGTGTTTTCACTTATAATGCATATAATGAGGTAGGTTCTAATACAAACAAGTTTATTTCTAACTCACAAAATCGTAATAGCACAATTACAAACAAACCACAGAATGGGAAGGGCTTGAACCTATGGCAAGTCGTAAAATTCCAGGCCAGCCTGTATGTCACTGAACCAACTGGTCCAGTAGCTCAAGCCGGAGGGCCCAAGAAAGAAGACAGAAGAAAGATGATGATGAACGACACCTCCAACCGGGGGCCACAGCCGGGTCACCATATGGAGAAGACCCGGGCCGAAAGTACCGGCGAACCTCTAAATGAATGAATGAATTACACGAAAGAAAAAAAGTACTTGAATTTTGAATTTGAATTTAAATAATACATAATTGACAAAGGATTAACTGATATGTATAAACTACTTCACTTTAATTCTCCATATTTTCCAAGTTTGCAGTGACCACTGAAAAACTTTACTGAGTAATGGACGAGTCTTCCAATATTAACAAGGTAAGTACATTTCTGTTCTACAATATACCATAAACTAACAGCTCAACTATAGCCGCAAGGTGTGACTTTTCAATGGACTGAGTCGGGCCGTAATGTCGTATCTCTCTCCTAAGTGTGGGTTATTTGTGTATTGTTTCAGCCATAGTATTATGATTTTTATTCTTTGTAACTGAAAAATAACCATACTGGAAGTTGAATGATAGCTCTAGACCTTTCGTGTTATAATCTACACATCATCACGAGCTTGTAATGTTGCAGAAATAGAGTAGGAAATCAAGGCAGATTTGTTCCTTGATGTGTTGATTGCAACATGAAAGGCCTAGAGTTTACCTGGAGAGAGTTACGGGGGTCAACGCCCCCGCGGCCCGGTCTGTGACCAGGCCTCATAGTGGATCAGGGCCTGATCAACCAGGCTGTTACTGCTGGCTGCAGAAAGCAAAAGACTCGGCAGACGATGCAACATCCCAACTCCCCCTGTGGTTATTTTGCATCTTTCATTGCTCGTTCGTAATTATTGCATAGCTGAAATAGTTGTAGAGTACATATTTCACTCTTATAAGAAACAAAAGTACTGACACCTTGTATCAATATTTCTATTTACCCAGTCACAAGGTCTGGGAAACTGGTTTTATAAGGACCACTCTTACTGACCATGATGGGTAGCTGCGGCTTTATATTTTCTCTAAAATAGTTCTTATCTTCCTTGGACGGCTATTTACAGGAGCAATGTACTCTGATAATCATCATTTTCTAATTCCTATCCTGAATCTGCTTTACCTCTTCAGGAAAAAAATCATTATCATAGTCCACATTCCATCAGTCACCAACTTTGACTGGCTCTCTGCACAAAATTCAATTTAAACCAGCAAATAATAGAGCCTACTAGACTGGAGAATACACTAGACCTCATATTCACTAACAATGATGATCTGATAAGAAATGTCACCCTATCAAAAACAATATACTCAGATCACAACATAATTGAGGTTCAGACATGTATGCGAGGAGCCCCAGACCGACAAAATGAGACTAGTCACGAGGGAGCATTCACCAAATTCAACTTCAATAACAAAAACATAAAGTGGGACCAAGTAAACCAAGTCCTAACCGATATAAGCTGGGAAGATATACTAAGCAACACAGACCCAAACTTATGCCTAGAACAGATTAACTCGGTGGCACTCGATGTATGCACAAGGCTTATTCCTCTAAGAAAAAGGAGGAGTAGATGTAAAATAGAAAGAGACAGGCGCTCCCTTTACAGGCGACGGAAAAGAATAACAGAGCGGCTAAAAGAGGTCAATATATCTGAAATGCGCAGGGAGACACTGGTCAGAGAAATAGCAGCATCGAACTTAAGGTAAAAGAATCCTTTAGGAGTCAGGAATCGCAGGAAGAACTAAAAGCTATAAATGAAATCGAAAGAAACATAAAAGTATTTCTTCTCCTATGCCAAATCAAAATCGAGAACAACGCCCAGTATTGGGCCCCTACTTAAACAGGATGGGTCCTACACAGATGACAGCAAGGAAATGAGTGAGCTACTCAAGTCCCAATATGACTCAGTTTTTAGCAAGCCGCTAACCAGACTGAGAGTCGAAGATCAAAATGAATTTTTTATGAGAGAGCCACAAAATTTGATTAACACAAGCCTATCGATGTTATCCTGACGCCAAATGACTTCGAACAGGCGATAAATGACATGCCATGCACTCTGCCCCAGGGCCAGACTCATGGAACTCTGTGTTCATCAAGAACTGCAAGAAGCCCCTATCACGAGCCTTTTCCATCCTAGGAGAGGGAGCATGGACACGGGGGTCGTCCCTCAGTTACTAAAAACAACACGACATAGCCCACTCCACAAAGGGGGCAGTAAAGCAACAGCAAAGAACTACAGACCCATAGCACTAACATCCCATATCATAAAATCTTTGAAGGGTCCTAAGAAGCAAGATCACCACCCATCTAGAAACCCATCAGTTACACACCCAGGGCAACATGGGTTTAGAAACAGGTCGCTCCTGTCTGTCTCAGCTACTGGATCACTACGACAAGGTCCTAAATGCACTAGAAGACAAAAAGAATGCAGATGTAATATATACAGACTTTGCAAAAGCCTTCGACAAGTGTGACCATGGCGTAATAGCGCACAAAATTGCGCGCTAAAGGAATAACAGGAAAAGTCGGTCGATGGATCTATAATTTCCTCACTAACAGAAAACACAGAGAGTAGTCGTCAACAGAGTAAAGTCGAGGCAGCTACGGTGAAAAGCTCTGTCCACAAGGCACAGTACTAGCTCCCATCTTGTTCTCATCCTCATATCCGACATAGACAAGGATGTCAGCCACAGCACCGTGTCTTCCTTTGCAGATGACACCCGAATCTGCATGACAGTGTCTTCCATTGCAGACACTGCAAGGCTCCAGGCGGACATCAACCAAATCTTTCAGTGGGCTGCAGAAAACAATATGAAGTTCAACGATGAGAAATTTCAATTACTCAGATATGGTAAACATGAGGAAATTAAATCTTCATCAGAGTACAAAACAAATTCTGGCCACGAAATAGAGCGAAACACCAACGTCAAAGACCTGGGAGTGATTATGTCGGAGGATCTCACTTCAAGGACCATAACATTGTATCAATCGCATCTGCTAGAAAAATGACAGGATGGATAATGAGAACCTTCAAAACTAGGGAGGCCAAGCCCATGATGACACTCTTCAGGTCACTTGTTCTATCTAGGCTGGAATATTGCTGCACTCTAACAGCACCTTTCAAGGCAGGTGAAATTGCCGACCTAGAAAATGTACAGAGAACTTTCACGGCGCGCATACGGAGATAAAACACCTCAATTACTGGGAGCGCTTGAGGTTTCTAAACCTGTATTCCCTGGAACGCAGGAGGGAGAGATACTGATTATATACACCTGGAAAATCCTAGAGGGACTAGTACCGAACTTGCACACGAAAATCACTCACTACGAAAGCAAAAGACTTGGCAGACGATGCACCATCCCCCCAATGAAAAGCAGGGGTGTCACTAGCACGTTAAGAGACCATACAATAAGTGTCAGGGGCCCGAGACTGTTCAACTGCCTCCCAGCACACATAAGGGGGATTACCAACAGACCCCTGGCAGTCTTCAAGCTGGCACTGGACAAGCACCTAAAGTCAGTTCCTGATCAGTCGGGCTGTGGCTCGTACGTTGGTTTGCGTGCAGCCAGCAGCAACAGCCTGGTTGATCAGGCGCTGATCCACCAGGAGGCCTGGTCACAGACCGGGCCGCGGGGGCGTTGACCCCCGAAACTCTCTCCAGGTAAACTCCAGGAGGATCATCTTGGATTACATATTCTTTAAATAGGAGCTCATCATGTGGCAAATTAGTCTCTGAGGACGTTTTCATTTCATCATTTGTTAGAGTGTATGTAGTGACATGGCCTTGCTCAATGGTGGAATCCAGTAAGAAATGTGTTTGTTTGGATATTTAACCCCGGAGAGTTAGCCACCCAGGATAACCCAAGAAAGGCAGTGCCTCTAAGTTTATTCGTATACACAAATACAATTACACAGATTATCATACACAGCAGCATATGTGTAGAGAACCTAGGATAACAAAACGTCAGACAAAGCGACTTATTTCCAATGGGGTCATCGAGGACTGTAGCTTCCATTGGTGTCCTTCAATCTTGTCCCCCAGGATACGGCCCAAATCAGTCGACTAACACCCAGGTAAGTAAGTACGTACTTGCTTGTTAGGTGACCGGGGACAGCACAGCAGGTGTAAGTTAACACGCCCAATGTTTCAACCAGCCATCGCTCTCGCCTCACACACACTGTCCATGGTTCAATCCCCGGCCGGGTTGGTCATATTTTCTTACACCTGCTGTCTCTCCCTCACTGCCACTGCCACCGCGGCGGGTTGTGTAGCGGGCTAGCTGCGGGATTTTCAAGGATAGCTCCTGGTCAAAGAGGCTGACCAGGTCCCTACTTAACAGAACTCAGTGTGAAT